GCCAGACGATAGCAAAAAGTTATCCGCGCTTTGCGACTTGTCGGTTTCCTTTGATTCTTGCTGTCGTATCATCGCGACTATCGTCGGTAACGCCTTGGTTCGATCTCCGAATAAACCCCCCTCCCCCCGACGCCTGCCTTGCTGTGTCCTTGTGTGGCCCGTCGACAAACCTACCTTCTCGTCGAGCAACGACATTCATCGACTCAAAGCAACCGCAGGCAGTGTAAAACGAGCGTTTTCGGCGACCACAAATCACTTCTTTCAGCGATTTGACTACCAAATATCTTCTCCAACCGCCACAACGTTGCCAGGTCCGCAAGACGACAGGAACGGGGAGCCCGTGTCCGCCCGGCCTTCAGATCCTCTCTCAGGAAGAAATTGCCTTTCTGTCGAAAAGAGGACCGCCGAAGAACGCCCACACTTGCAAGGAAAAGCTGCTTCTGCTACCAACGTTCGAGGACTTTCGCCCCCTCCTCAGTATCCAACGTCCGAAGCCTCAACTTCGCGTCCACCACCGTTCTCGTCTCTCTACGGCAATTTTGAGACTAGCGCAAGTACCCATCACGTATATTGCGATAGTAGCTCAGCTGTTGCCGCGGCTGGATCTTCTGTAGCAGCCCCAGCATACGCACCCACGTCTTCTGTCATCTCCGGTGACGAGCCCGCCTCAAGCTCCTTTGATCAAGCCCTCACAGACACCAAGCGCGGAATCACTCAAGACAAGAAGGGCGCCGCCGCGAGCAAAGACGAGGATACCGAGCCGCCGCCAGCTTACTCGGAGGGACCCAGTCCACTTCAATCCTTCACCTTTCTCATGGCTACCGCCGGTGGCGCCTCGAGTATCATTACTCAGGTACAACAAGGAGGCCCGCCCATCAATGCGATCGGAGGTAGGTCTCCTTCGTCGTGTGGCGGTCCGACTACCTACTGACAATGTGCTAGATGTCGGCGCCGACGAGACGATTTCCATGGACCTTCGGTAAGATCAGTGGCTGCTCTGAGTGAGACACGAGGACGGCTAACAGTAGTCCTGCAGGGGTACCAGATTTGTTCTCTCGAGAGACGAACTATTGACGTTGCCTGAGTTCGTGCTCCTGTCTCTCTTTCCGAACGGGCTCTTCCCCGAAGGTCACATGGGTGGATTCGCCGAAGGCGACGCTGTTCAAGTAGACGTACGTACAAGCCAAAAGGCCATCCGACCCCATCACTGACACCGATTGCTAGTATGATCCAGCATCATTGCAATACATGCTGGATTTCTTCCGTACTGTGGCACAGTCGATACCGGCCGAGACGTCTCCAAGTGTCTCACAGGAAGAGAATGCATCCGCTGCTGACGCCATGGAATCAAAAGATGACTCTTCTAAACGGGCAGGCATCATTGTTTTGCGCGAAGACTTGGATTTCTACGTCATTCCGCCGCGGGCAGATATCACGCAATCAGAGATGTTAGAGGTGAAGCGAGCGGCTGGCAAAGCGCTACTTCAACAGAATGGCATATTCTCTGGCCTGAAAAGAAGTGACGAGCCGGGCACTACGGAGGCTCACCTTATCGAAATGTTGACAGCAGGGTAAGTTATGCAATTGACAGGTGTTCATTCACGATGTATGCAGTTGAGACTAATTGTCGATGCTAGCGGCTTCAACCACGATGATAGCTGGGGCCACCGAGCTGGGGAACCAAACAAGGCAGTCGTCTGTAGCCTCGCCCTAGCGCGACTGAGAAGTGACATTCGGGGCAATGACATGGGCAGCAATGCTGTCGGTATGGCTCAGAAGTTGCTCTTGTTCTGGCGCAAGCCGGCGAGGCGCTGTTGGTGGGAAGGCGTCGAACTTGAAAATGTGGAAGGTGTGCCGGGAAAGCTCAAAGTCTGGATACGGCGGGTCTGGACACTGGAGATGAGCGTAATTGGCCTCCGTTAAAGGACTGAGTTAAGAAGGTCAGATTCATGGTTCGGAGGACACGTAGGTATCTGGCGGTAGCGCACCTTGAAGTAACTAAAGGCACAAATGCTGGGTTTCTTACATCTCATAATACGGGTCAGATGTTCCTAATATGTATACTATTCGCCCCCTAATTTTGGCTTTGTCTATCGTGCTTTCTCAATCTTACCCTCCACTTGGCCTTGCAGGTTTCACGGTTGTACACCAGGTAGAGCGCCCGGCTGTATAGCTTGTATAAAAGAAGTATATGCATTGAAAGGAGGTTGTCCGTCAGTGCCGGCCGATACCACGCCTCAGAAATTGTATATTCCGCTGGTTACCAGCATGTATCATAACCGGGGGGCATGGCAAGCCCATAGGTGTAGCGCGGAAAGGCAGTACGTGCTCCATACACGTGATGGCAACCTCGTTGCATTTCGCCAGGACCACCTCCACGTGCTTTTCTGGTGCTGAGGCCAGTCCGGTTTTTCAACTATCATGCATTTCGGGGCTGTCTCTCGACCTAAGCCGCCCTCGTCTAAAAGAGCGGTGGCCGCGCAGGAGACGATAGCCTAGGGGCAGGAACTCGGTTTGCTGATTGCCAATATGTCCTATGCTTAATAGGGGGGGTTCGTGCACTACGCAGGAAGCATAAATCGCTGGGGAAATTATGCGGCAGTATGAGATGAATTGAACATGCCGGCCGTGCCGTCGCTCTCGATACTTGTTGGCAAAGAAGTCCAGCGGCCAATGGCTGATGCCATAGAATAGGAGAAGCGAGCCGGCTGGGACGTTTGCGAACCAATCCCTGAAAACAAACGACATCGAGTAATAGAACATCATCAATGAGAGCTAACCTATCTAAACCCTAATTTTCCGTGAACGCCTTGCTTGTGATGTCATGACAGCACTAGAATCACTCTTCGATGCTCTTGACACACTCCCATTCGCCTCTGAGATTCTCCTTCCACAAGGAAACCTTGTTGTCGCCTCCGCTTACGGCCAGAACGTTGCCGCTCAGCGACCAGCTCACACGCCAGACGGGAGCATCAAAGTTGAGGATTTTACAGCTCCATTGGCTTGCGCCGGTTGAATCAGAGGTCCAGATGCGGACGGTCTTATCCTGAGAAGCTGAGGCGATATAGGACTTTTGTAAAACAGTGGGTGACCATGCAACATCACGCACCCAATCGGAGTGGCCAGCAAGGGGCTCCTGATCTGGCTTGTAAGACTGCGACGCAGAATCGAAGGTCCAGATTTTGAGCAGGTTGTCACAGCCGCCAGTGACAAACCGTCTGACGCCAGCAGAACCAGGGCCTGGAGAACTGCTCACGATACTACCCGGTGCAGTTGCAGGGGCCCACGACACGGAGTTGACGCCCAATCCATGAGCAGGGAAGGTAACGTGGTCGAAGCTGTTGTCTCGGAACTCGAGCACACTGACATTGCCGTCGGACGAGGCACAGGCAAGAAGACATCCGGATTCATGTGGTGACCAGGAGACAATGTTGACGGAAGCCTTGTGCAGAGCGAAGTCGAAGATCTTTTGCCACTGGTTGTTCTGCTCTCTCCATATGAAGACCTTGCCGTCGTAACCCGCCGAAGCGATAATGTTTCCGTACTTGGGGTGAGCCCAGGAAACACACCAAACCGCACCATCGTGTCTACTGCTGCGTCAGTCTGAAAGCTGATAAGCGGGTAATGAGACATATTCCTACCCCTTGAGGGTTTCTATAAGTCGTTGAGAATCACCCTCTATCTCGAATATCTTGATCGTTCGGTCGCTCGAGCAAGTCGCGAGCCGGCGACCATAGTAGTCGAGGACGGCGTCGTGCTGCAAAAAGGATTTCGGTTAGCCTCAAGAGCTTGATGATGGAGTAGTAACCCGGGGGTATGAGAATCGGAGAGCGGTTCCAGATCTACACCCGTCGTGGAGTCGCTTGCGGTGGCAGTCGGAGGCCGTGGCGATTTCCCGTGGCTGGCGTGGGTGTCATTTGCACTTACAATCATATCATCGTGGCCAGAGTTTGAAATGACCTGAGCGGACGCCTGCAATGGGTGTCAGCAGGCAAGAAGCAACAACTGGGAGGTGAAGTAGGTGCAAAATCACCATGGCGGGGAAGTTTGTGTTAGGTTGCAAGCCGTTCTGATCGAAAGGTATGTGTCATTTAAGTGAGGGCCAGTCAGAAGGGGTTGGCAGAAAAAAGACAGTGACTACCGCCGTCGAAGTGTCGGTAGAAGTGTTGTCGCAGTCGTAGTAGATGTTGACGAGCCACCTAATCCAAGAGCTCCTCAGGTTTGGTCAAGCTGGCTGCAAAGTGGGTCTCCGCAAGCTGGCCTCGTCTTGAGGAAAGAAGGTACTTGCGGGAAGTACCCCACCGCCCTCTCTCAATCCGCTTTTGTTTTGTTCCCTATTCTGTGTAGTTTACTCTATCGTGTTATTCAACCCGTATGCAGTGTACGCATACACCTCTGTATCAGAACAACTCCAGAGAGGTCAAAAGTCTATCTACGGATGCCTTGAGGATAATGACGCCTCATCACCACCAAGGTAAAAGTTTAGCTTCACAGGTTGAACCTTGAGAAGCTGGTCTCTCTCAATCCGCCCGGGGGCGGAAGTGAGTAAAGCCTGATTAAGCAGGCGGTGAGATCCTAGATCCTGCCACAGAGAAGAGAACCACGTCTTTTGACACCGTAGGTACGTACCGCGGTGTGCCGAGGTAGGCCGATTTAGAATGATAACCGTCATTCACAAGGAAAGGTTATATTCCTGTCACATCCCCTACTTACTTCGTGCTGACGGCTTTACGCAGACTTCAAGAACTCGCGGGCTTTTCTTCCACACTCTTGATTAGTCCACTTCAGGCTTCGACGGTAGCAGCCTCGACTTCTCGTTCGCATTACCTGCCGGCCGTCACATACACTCCAGCCGCTGAACCGCTGAACCGCTGGACCGCTGACCAAATCAGGTAGAAGAGAAGCAGAACGGCGGGTGGTTCTTCACCCTGGGCTCTTTACTCTACGTCTACCATTTGCACTTTTAATCCGCTCAGGCTCCTTGAGGTTCCTTCTTGAGAATGGGTGACAACTCCTGTAGCGGCTCAACGCCGTTCAAGAGTCTCGTCGACCACGGCGGCCAAGACCGTAGCCTCCACCAGGATCGCTTTTCCACCACATTTGCTAGTCAACATGTATGTTTGTATCTACCTCTCCGTATCCAGAGCGCTTATAACACATTGAATAGGCCTTCAGGTCTAGTGGCTCGATGTCCTCGCCTCAAGCACAGCATGACTTCGGCGCATTTTCAACCACGAATGCGCCAAGCTCTCATTCACAGCCAATACCTAGTCCATCCATAGCACCGCATCTCGTAAACCACTATGACGGACGCCTTTCGATGAACAATCCGGCCTCTACTTCCCGTTTGTCCAATACTATACCCTCTGTGGACGAAAGCGCGGCCCGCCGCCCATACCACATACCAAATGCACCCCCAGAAGCGACAGGTTGGGCTCAGGACTTTGCAAGGTTCTCTCAAAACACTCCAGCCTCAAGCAGCTCGGCGCTCATTCGTCCAATCACACAAAATAGCTCACTTCGCTCCACAGACTTCGCGACAAACATGATGACATTTCCCTCAAGGCCGTCTTTCTTTAGGCCTGTCGGAGATCCTGGGGCACTCGTGGAAAATGGGCCTACAAGCCACGGCGCTGACGCTGTTCAGGCTGAATTTGACCTCGAAATGGACAGGTGGATGGCTGCTCATGGGGACAGCCGATTAGAAGATATTGACGCCATCATGGAGGAGCTCGCGCGGCAGATGGAGCAAGAAGAAATAACGGCTGCCCAAAACGACGACAGAACCCTTGGCATCAGTCTTCGCGGTGAACAACTCATGCCAGCCACCGTGGATGGTGAGACATCCGTAGAGGAGAAAGACCACTCTGTCCAGGCTCCCTCTGGCACATCCCAACCCAACCAGCTCCCCGATGTGTCGCGGCTGGGTCTCGATGACATGGCCGATACAACGTCAGCCGATCTTGCCAGCCCGGGGCAATCAGAAATTTCCGAGGCCGCAAGACAAATTTTGGAATCGGTTCAACACGAGCAAGGTGACAAGTGGAAGAATTCGAGGTTCCTGCTGCTGATGAGAGACTTCCGAGATGGTTACAAGGATATCATTGACAACGAAATACTGGAAACGCATGGCGATGACGGTCACTTGTTGGAAAAGGTCAAATTGACCGAGGCATGACTAGGCAGCAGTGTACAGGTGCAGGCAGTCCAACCGTATATCTTGGAGGACAAGCCAACCTCATTGCAGAGTTCACCCCGCGAGTTGACGGATTGAGCAGAGGATGCCATCGCGAGAAGGCATGTTGTGTCCCCAGTTGCATCACCTACGTGGGCCAGGCCATGATGGATGTCGGCATTGAGGGGTTGAACCGATCTCGGGTTTTTGTAGGCCCGAGCTTTTACCGTCGGCACCTCAACGGCTCATGGAATATCCCGAGCATGATGTGGCTTGTTGATGCCGCGTATGGAGGGAGACGTTTCGGGCGAGACAATTTTATTGCGACAGTGTTAGCATGGTTCATAAATACATCATATGATGCGAGACAGGCCATATCGACCTTGAATTCTGCGTATCCAGCGGATTGATCTCGGGCGAGTCTTCTACCTTTTGAGCCCAGCCACGTCCAATGGCAGTCTTGTTGGGAGTGCGTGTGCGGATTGGTGGAGGTCTGGAAATTGGCGAACAACGTCGGAGTTCATCATTATGCTAGACATAGTTGGCATGCACATATGGAGCATGTGCAACATGAGATCGGTCATTTAAAACACTACGAGACGAGAGACTGCGGGGAGAGTTGGGGAACATGAGTCACAGGCGGGAAACAGGGTGAACTGACCGGGGCGCTGGTTATCACTGAATCAATTGGTCTAGTCTAAATGATTGGCTGATTGGCAACGGTGTATCCAGAGTCCATGGATAGCGAGGACTACCGGGCCTGCCAGATATGATGTATGTTTGTCTGTTTTCGCGGAGACCTGGCGAAAACGGAAGCTCGTTCATCGATAAAATAAGTACGAGAATTGCCTGATACAGAGGTGTATGCGTACACTGCACACGGTTTGAAGTATCTTACTAGATACTTCAGCAGGAGCAAAGTGAGCAAATAAAGGAAGATATACGTGTTGAATCTACTGTTGAAGAGTGTGCTGTGCAGTAGATTCGTACCCGGCTCATCCGTGATCTTGTCCTCGGAGTTGTCGCTGATACGTACCTATGCGTTTCCCGTTTAGGCTGGCCGAAGATGGCGCCAATCAAAGTTGTCGGTATCTCTCAGGACAGTTAGTTAGCGAACTGGAAAAGTACTGTACTTTAGCGTGTCTTTTTTCTTGTGGTCGGCGTTGGTGTGAGGTGGGCAGTGCGTGGAAATTAGGCGAGAGACGTCCGGCGCCTAGGCTGATTTCTAAGGTCTGTGGTGGGTGGGTAGCCCGTTTGCCTTGTTGACGCGCACTGTACTGTGCCCGGTCACTGCTTCTGTTCTAGGCCATTAATGGTTTGGCGCCGCAGAGTGTGAGTCACACATCAGCCCGGGCCATGGATTACACAGAGGGCGGAGCAAGACCTGTATGGAAGGGGCTGCAGGGTACATCCAGTAGCAGTATTCCAAGGCTGTTGGTCGACCAGCTTGTGGGCCATTTTGCGAAGTTTTGGGCGTCCCGGGTAGGCATGGGATACCTCCTAGATCTGTATTTTCTACCGGCCATCAATGCCGTTTCATTCCAGGGCTTTGCCAACCGCGCGCCCTTCGGCTTGCGCTTGTCGTTTTGGCCTGCGGTTGCCTGAAAGGCTACAAAAGCTAGTTGCTCGCCCACAAAACATCTATCTCCATTTTCTCCTTCCTCTTCATACCCTCACCATTTTTCCCCAATACACAGCAATTCATTGTCGCCATAAAGGCTTCTCAAGATGCGTTAAATTAACTGCCCTCTTCGGCTGCTCCCCACAACCAGACAAAATTCAGTCTCACCACTTCGGCAACATTCTCCCCACTCAGTCTTCACCCTCAGCTCTACCTTCCCAGGTCGATCTGAACTTTAGCCCAGCTACACAAAGCTTCAGCTCAGGTTCCTCCTCTTCCACCATTTACTCGCAAGACTTTCCAGTCTTCACCACGGATTCCCAATCACCATGGCTTCCCTCCAGTTCTCCCAGCCTGCCGGCACAACCCGCGCAACAACAGTTCAGCCCACCCGTCGAGCAACCTCAACAGGACTTCGTCTTGTTCGATCAGCCTCCCCCACGGCCCAGTCAACCTAGACACCACACTCAGCAGTCTAGTGCTTCTGATATACAGCACCGCCGTCACTCGTCGCATCAGCTCCGTCAGCATCAGCAACGCGGACGCCAATCTCTCATCCGTCACAACCAACGACTAGCCCAGATACAGGCAGCAGACCACTCGAGGTCTCCGTCGTCCCTGGTTGCTTCTCGATTCACCTCTCCCGCACACCAAGCCCAGTTTTACGCTGCTTCAGCTCCGTCGTCTTCACTTGCTCTTCAGCAGCAATCCCGTCGTCATCTGCCCCCGGTCCCGCTTTTCTCCCAGAGTACTGGTCAGACTTCTCAGAGATCGTCTAAGATGGAACTGCAAGGTATCATGCAATTGCCTCCGTTTTCGTGTCCGCCTTGCTTACGATTGTCAGAACTCGATCTGGACGACTTCACCGGGTTCGAGGGTGGTGCTTCTACCACATACTCGTCCCCAGCTATGCCATCTGTCTTCGATCTCGGCGGTAGCGCATCTGGGGCGAGCAATCTGGGCACTGTTTCTCCCCAAGACCTGCTGATTCAGGAGCCGTTCATGTCGGCTCCTAATTCGACGGCATTCACTGCGTTAACCTCTCCGTCCGTCTATAACGAGTCGCCAGACTTCAATGACGGTTACGACGTTTCTCCCAATTTTAGCTCTGGTGATTTCGAAACCGGTTCAACTGATCCTTGGTTCCCTCTGTTCCCTCAGGAGACCGCCCCGCCCAAGGACACTCAACAGAATGTTGGGCAGTCTCCTGCTGTTGCGGAAGAAGACCTTGAAGTCGTTGAGTTCACTTCAGCCTCCGCGCGGCGGAAGTCGAGTGGCTCTCCACCGTCCGGCTCCGGCCGCCACTCTTCTGTGGCTGGTGTGAATTCTCGAAAGCGAGACAAGCCTTTGCCTCCCATCGTCGTAGAAGATCCCAGCGACGTTGTCGCTATGAAGCGGGCACGGAACACTCTTGCGGCTCGTAAGTCTCGTGAGCGTAAGGCTCAACGGTTCGAGGACTTGGAGGAGAAGATTCGAAAGTTGGAAGCTGAGCGTGATCACTGGAAGAATGTGGCTCTTGGCCGAACATAATCTCGTTGCCACTAAGTGTTCTTTTTCCTGCATGGACTGGAGGGAGTCTAGAACTCAGTCACCTCGCTGCGTCAGTTCTACATTGTTTTTCTTTGGGTTTCTACTTCGTCAGGTAAAGTGTATTAGGTATAGGTAGTGAACTAGACGTCACAACCTAATCGCAATTGACTCAGGCTGTTATCAGCGTGTATTTCTACTGCGTGAGCTTGGTTTCGTTCTCTTCTCTCTTTAAGCCTTTAACTGTTTATAGTGGTCTTACCCTGCTTAATATAGTAAACTTATATGGCGGTTCATCTCGTGATACGCCTTATGCTTTGCGCAGCCCCCTCAGTGAGACTCACAGAGGGAGCAGGCTATGTGACTAGTATAAGCCTCACGAGCTCTTGATTTAAGGATGCTTAAGAGGGTAACTTCCTCTTAAGTAATACACGCCTTTTTATAAACTCTTTAGTCTCTTTTAACTACTAGAACCTATCTCTATACTTTTTAATAAAACATAGCCTTATATTTATTAAGTTTATAGTTATAATATAGCTTTTTATTATATATAACGTGGTTTATCAGTCAGCCAGCTGGACCAGTCAGCCAGACTTTTTTTCTAAACACTCTTACGTCCAAAGCACTTAAACCTTTGACGCGTAAAATCTCAACAACCATAATGCCAATCTACACCTAAGAAGACAAAGTCATTCTTGCGATTAAAGCGATCCGATCGACACGCGCTACAGGTAATAACCTAAGCATTTCGCGTGCTGCAAAGACCTACGGTATCCTAAAGAGCACCTTAGCCGATAGAATGAACAACCGACCGCGACGCAAACAAGCTCAACCCCAACGACATAAACTCAATCCGATCGAAGAGGAAACACTTCTCCAATACGTTATTAAACAGGATTCCAGAGGATTTCCTTTCCGCTTCAGCAGTGTGGAAGATATAGCTAATCTCCTGCTGTGAGCCTGTAATAGTAAGCCTGTTGGTAAGCGATGGGCTAGGCGGTTTGTGGACTTACAGCCTGCTCTGAAAACTAAGTTTAATTATTTATATAATTATTAAAGGGCTTTTTAAGAAGATCTTAAGGTTATATCAAAGTGGTTTATGCTATTATGCTATATAATAGCTAAGTATAGCATCTAAGAGGGGGACTTATATAATTTTAATAACACTAGCTTTATAATAAGCATAATCACTATATTAATAGTGGTTATATATGCTGATTAATAAAGTAAAGCAAAGTCTGTCCAGCCTAGTAACTATGAATAGGCTATAGTTATTAAATATATATTAATTTCAGCAGGTAGTATATCCCTCTGTTTATAATTATTAAGGGTGTATATCACCTTACTAGTTAGACTATAGAATTAGGTTTTCTAGGTAACTAGGTGATTAAACCTACTGCTAATAGATAGATAGATAGTTAGATAGGTCTTAATTAGATTAAATATTTTAATAAACATACTAAAAACTAAACAAGAGATCTATTAGATACTTATTATTAACAGCTATAAGAGCTATTTATTAGCTGAATTTAATAATTACTATAAGCAGAATAATATTATAACTATTAGTATGCCTACATATTTATTATATCTACTATAGCTATTAGATATTACCTTTTATTCACTTTTGAAATATATATATAATAATAAAATCAACCTATTCATCAGAGCCTCTATGACTTATATCACTAAGACTAAGTTCTTTATTACCTTCTGTGAGGCTTATAATAAGGTTTTTAATAAGGAAAACATTAGGTCTGCTTTCTAAGGCGCTAGAATTTCACTATAAGGCCTAAACTATATTATCAAAAAGCTTAATATATATTTATAAACGCCTACACCTCTTATAGCTAAC